GTTACAAGCCTCGACGTAACTTCGACGATGTAGGAGAACGCACAGCAACACGATGATGTTGATAACCGATGGAGATGCAGATTGCAACAAGACAATTACGAGCTCTACCAACCGTACATCAGGAGCGCGGATGAGCACACCAGGCAGTTGCTACCCGTGGATATAATGAGGGGAGAAGCAAGTAATTTTCATTCCCTCGAGCGACCCAATCACTGGCAGCAATGGAGTGACACCTGTGCATTAAGACACATGTGTTCCTTGGTAGTTACAACTGTTACACCCATCAGGAAGAATACACACAGAAGAGGGAGCGGAAGGATCCTTCTTCAAGCCGTTACGACTCAATCGCATCCTCTGCAGCAGTCGCCGCCGCGAGTGTTTACCGCCGCCGCCGCCGTCACAACAGACAAATACAACAACACCCAACCCTGATGAATGGGAGGACTACGACATTCTTTGAGTCCTCATGGCCCAATGACTTCGATTGAGTCATCAAACCTGCGTCATCAACCAATCCATCACTTGCATGACCTCCACGGAAGCTGATAGGCGTGATCCGGAGTGCCAAGGCCACTATGAATAGAGGACTCCGCGTAACTTCGATGTTGAGTAGCTCAAACAGCATCAACGTCATTGAAGATGTTACTATAGAGGACACTTGACGACCCAGTGGACCTACACCTATACGTGCATCCAGACGGCGATGCCAATTGATGGAATCCGTGCTAAACTGGTTACATAAGGCATACTGAAGTCACCGTCATCGTCACCAACAACCTATTGAAAATGGAAGAGGAGTCAAAGGGGTTGAGCGCAGAAATCCCCATACATGTCACATTCGAACAGAGCAAGCCCCAAGATTGTTGGAAGTTGCTCTGTTCGAGGGGGGTTGTGCCACGCAGGCATTTTTGCACTAAGTGAGTTGCGGTGCTGTCTGTAATGTTCTGTACATGGTCGGTGCCCCTGTCGTATCCTGCGACGGCAAGTCGCAGAATATATCGCACATGTTGGTGTGACATTACATGGGTTTGTTGCCAATCACATTACGGAAACCACTCAACATATCAGAAACAAGGGACACAAACACAAACAAGGTAAGCCCCCAATGTCACGCTGCATAACCAAAACTCTACATTACAACGGACACACCACGCGTAGGAAAAGCACACAGCAGAAGATTCGGTTACAATGGGCTCGTCTCGTCCATCTCAGATTTCCATCCGCTCGTGATTCGGTTGGAATCGCCCCATCTTGACACATTTCGTCTAGGAATCACGACGTGCCGTAAACCTAGCTGGATCATTTTTGCATCAATGTGTCGGGTGAGTGGTGTTGTGCGAGTCATTCAACTCGTCGATCACTGGCATGCGTTGTTGACCATATTTGTGTGCTACACGGCTCACCAACTTAACTTGAGCTGGGTCGCATTTTCTCGCGGACTCAGGTTTCGCCAACCCTCCTCTGAACTGGGTCTCCCGGTGACGCGTTGGCGTTCCACGTTTGGGGCTGCCTTGCTTACGTTCACGCCCTTGCCGCGGACAAAATCTCAGCCCGCACTCTTCTTATGTCTTCCTCTCCCACTCGACAATCCTGGTTGGCTGTTCTACCAGCCTGGACAGCACCGCTTCTTTCACTCTTGTAACGTTACGTTCAACGAGTCTGTCTCTTTTACAGTCACTTCCTTTCACTCATGTGCCTCCTCCACCTCTCTTCCTCACTCCTGTACCACTTGTTGCTCGCTTCCCACCCCGCCTGGCCCTGTCTGGTGTCTCCCGCGCCACTCCCCTCCCCTCGGGTCGAACCTATGGGGGAGTTTTTTTACTTTGGAGGCCCCGTCGCTGGGGGTGCGCCTGTCGTAGCTACGGCACCCCTCCCCCCAGCCTCGGTGCCCCAGGCACATCAGCAGCCTCCCCCGCCACTGCCGCAGAAGCAGTGGCCGCAACAGCAGCTGCGGCAGGAGCCTGTGGCCTCTGGGGGTGCCCATCCTGGAGGTGCTAGCTCGGAGAGTCCTCACGGTAGCAGTAGTGGAGCTGGGGGTTCTTGTGTGGGTCGGCAGCAGCAGCAGCAAACGCGGTAGCAGGAGCAGCAACATATGCAGTCGCAGTTTGCCCTGTTAGAATATTCTACCTTCATTCTATTAGCCTACATTGTTTTATTGTCTTAGGTACTTATACACATCCCACTAAGGTGTATACACCCAAGTTGGGGGTTCGGTTCCCAAATTGGTTGGGCTCCCAATTATTGGAACCCCCAAATAATCCCAACCAAGATTATTGGACCCACCAATAATCTTGGCTAGGATTATTGGACCCCCAATAAGTTGGCCAACCCAACTTTATTGGATTGACCAATAATCGTGGTCACCTCCCAACCAAACCCCCCCTCCTACTCCTCACCTATGTATACCCGCTCCTTTCCCCCCCTCCTACCTGCCCTCACCGAAAAAACTCGTTAAAGTCCCCAACGGCTAGAGTCAAGTCCTTTCACACACACCCCACCCCGCAACCTAAAAAATCTGGCTAAGTCCTAGCAGTCAGAGACAGTTCCCCCCAGCACATTTCTTCCCTACACGCCTCGCAGCCCCTGAAATTCGACTAAGTCCCCACGGACAGACACATCCCTCCCACACATCCTACGACCCTGAAATTTCGGTTAAGTCCCCAAAGCGAGAAATATCCCTCCCGCAGCTCCCGCAACCCGAAAAAAAGGGTTAAGTCCCTTGCAGCCATTAAAAAAAAAAATCCTCCCACAAACCCCCTACAGCCCGCAATCCTGCTTATTACCCGACTTTTGCGAAGTTCCTAAAAGGGGTAACAAAAAAAACATTCCTAGCTTGACTGAGTAATCGGCTATATCTGGCTGGCATGATTTCTTTTCTGAATTCTCAGACGATGTGAAACTAAATCTAAAAACTCACACTGTCCACGGCTCAATTGAGGGTGTGTTCCTACATGACACTATGTCAGACAACTTCGTGTCATTGGAGATTTTGCCAGTCAAATTTGCCCGTCAATAACAGTTTTGATACGAAGTGTCGTGACCTTGTGTCGCGTAGGAACAGGCCCTGAGGGGGAGGATTCGAAAAGGAGGGGAGGGGGAATCGAATTCGAGGGGGAAAGGGGGAGGGAATCAAAACAGAGGGGAGGGGGGAAGCGAAACGGGGGGGGGGGGGGGCGAAACGGAGGGGAAGGGGTGGGGGTCGAACAGAGGGGAGGCGTGGAAGCGAAACGGAGGGGAGGGGGGAAGCGAAACGGAAGGGGAGGGGGGGGGGATTCGAAAATGGAGGGGGAGGGGGGAGGATCGAAACGGAGGGCAGGCGGGAAGCAGTGGAATTAGGCGGTGGGAGAAACTTCGCGCCATTGCAGTGCCCTGGTTGATCGATCGTAGACGTTAATCACTTGCGACCATCGAATGGTTGAAAAACGTCGAAACGATCGCAAACGATCGTGACCGTCACATTTTGATAGTCTTTCAGTTGACCAAACGGGCAGCTGTCAAGAATTTCGCCTAATAGGAACGGCTGTTATTAGAATGCGGAATTTACTCTTAATCGAATGCAACCAAAAAAAATGTGAAATCCTCTCTCCTTGTTGCCAAATCAGTTTTTTTTTTTTTTTGTACACGCCCTGATGAAAAGGCAAACTTTTGCTATGAAACACTGATGATTCAGCGTAAATTTTCTTGAGGCTGACGAAAGGTTTCTTTTTGGAACCTGACACTGAGCAATCATGGTACCCTAAAACCAATCGTGGGGCCTGGTGTGAACTCTGAAAATATAAGATTTCGACTTGGGCGCAGGACTCTGAGTCGACATTCCAAACCCTGAGTATTTCAGATTCGTTGACTATTGGACACTGAGATTTCAGAGTAGTGAAATTTTGAAAAATGGCCCTTCAGTCTCGGGAAATTTTTGGGGGGGGAAATCAAAGTGCCTTTTTTTGAAACGTCAGCCCTGGTCCAGTCACAACTGGTCTAGCATATGTTGCCCGGAAAGCAGGGCCTCAGATTCGTTTAGAGGCACCCTGATAGCTCAAGGTCCCCCCTCTCAAAGAAGCTTAGGACAATTCTAGGTAGGTAGCTTGAAGGAAGGAACGTAGGTAGGCAGCCACTAGGAAGCTAAGAAGGCCGCCATGAAAATGGCGGTGGGGTTTAGCTAGAAGCTAGGCGAGAGTGTCGAGAGAGAAGTTGTCGATTAAGAAGAGAGAGGAGTACAAGGAGGGGATTGTACCCTCTACAGAAAGGTTCAGTAACAACTATCAAGCCTATCAATTATATATAACTTATATAATCTTGACACCCCCACCTTGGTCTCTTGATTTTTTAGTCCTCTCCAAAAAAAAATCTCTGATCCATCAGGGTTCCTAGAAATTTTCACTCTGAGTAAACATGATTATACACTTAAAGCACGCTGGGTATTATATGCCTAGTACTATGCGGTAGCAGGGTTCTCAAGGGCAGCAGGCGCAGAGGGTTCTCAAGGCTAGGATTGGCTTTGAAAGTATGACCGCGTCAGCAACAAATATGGACGGTCGCATTCAAGTCGGCGGGATTGACAGGGAGGGTAGGGGAAACTCACGGAAATCACGGGTGGAGGGGCGGGGGTTGCAAATCTGCTATTACACGAATTTGGACAAACAGGGCTCACTACACTAGTAACGCTGATCGATCAGAGTTCACTCCAAACAGAAAAACCCATAAAAATCACTCTGAAAATCAGACAATCAGATAAAACTCTGATAATTAGGACCCTACTTGCAACATGCAGGTCGAGCTTTAAAGATTTGTAAGCAAATTAGGATACATGTTTATACTTTCATACCCACAGCTTGTCACAAGTTGATATGTTCTTGACGGCTACGGGTGCCTGACACGTCAGCGCCACAACCACCTCTTTCCCACTTCTCACCCAATTTGTCCACGGCTCTGAACCGTACCGAACCAAATCCATTCCGCCTTCACCTCATTTACCCATCAGCCGTGCTTCATTGCTACTAGTAAAGCCTCATTGGTTCCTCCGAGCACTGCTGCGACTCGAGCAGTGGATACTCGCTCTTCCGTGTGATGCGGTGACTTTTGCCTGGGCTTTGCTTCCCCGCTACGTATTCCATTTCACAAATTCTGATTTCGAAAGCCCGATTATTTTAGATTGCACGCGTCCAGTTCAGGGAATTCCTGCTTGGGCGCCAATAGACGGGAGTATGGGAATCAGAAGCAGAGGGCTTCGCAACCAAGATTCTAGTATCTAGCCCGCATGGCTTCTAAATTCTCGTTCCCTGTTTGCCTGTGACCTGAGGTCGCGGCGTGAGCTAGTCTCACTATTTTCAGATTTCAGGACGTGCGAATTCACCTTACTCGATTAGCCATCAAGTCTGACTCAGCCACCGCTCAGTCTGACTCAGTCACCGCTCAGTCTGACTCAGTCACCGCTCAGTCTGACTCAGTCACCGCTCAGTCTGACTCAGTCACCGCTCAGTCTGACTCAGTCCCGTCTCAGTCCGATTCAGACACCCCTCAATCTGGCTCAGCCGCCTCTCACTGCGCGTCACATGACAGCGACTAGGGTTCCTTTCACGCTCTCCCATGTACTCGGCATCAGGGTCTGGGTTACCAGTTACAGGGGCCGTCGGCGGGAGAACAGGAGCAGAATTACCCGTTACTGGCGCTGTCGCAGGGAGCAGCACCACTGGATGCAGCAGCAGCAGCAGCAGCAGCATCACCAGCGGTAACGCCGCGTTTGCCGCTCCCTCCTACTCGCTGCACCTCTCCCCGCCTCTCCCGCGCGCTGCTCCCAATACAGCCGGCGCCAGCACCGCCATCAGCATCACCAGCGGCACCACTGGCGGCGGCGGCGGCGGCGGGGGGGGGACTGGCGGCGGGGGGACCAGCGCGTCATTAGTCGTTGAGGACCAAGGCGGCGGAACCGCCACAGTCGCGTCGGGATTCTCCCCGCATGTCTTTAATCTCCCGCCGGGCGGCGCGGCGGTGGGCGGAGGCGCGTCCACGTGGCTGCAGGGCGACCACCACCACCACCAGGTGCTGATCCCGTCCGCCGCGCACAAGCGCGCCACGTTCGTCTCGTCCGAAGGGGCGCAGCTCGCCGGCGGAATCAGCTTCGGGATAAGCGGCGGAATAGGCGGCGGGATAGGCGGCGCGAGCGCCGGACTAGGAGGGTTGAACCTAGGCGGGGTGAATCTAGCCCCCCCAGTGCCGTCCCCCACCCCCGAAGTAATCACAATTACTGTCCCCCCGCCATGGGAGGACCCCGCTACAGCGTCTTCGTCAGGGATTGGTCGGCCAGGCCAGCAAACCCTAGAGCGCGAGCAGCCAATCCCCGCTCAGAGCTCGAGACCGTTGCCAGAAGGGCGGGCGAAGGAACCCAAGGAGAAAGACGAGAAGGCAGAGGAGGACTGGCGGAGAGGCCGGGTGAAGATCCCACCACACGATTACAGCCACGTGTCAGCAGCCCAAGGGCTGTACACGTATGTAGAGGGGCTCGGTAAGCTACCAGGACGGGCTATACATGCCATAGAGGCGTCATTAGGGTTTTCCCTGTCATGGTCGTCAGGGGGGAGGCATGGAGGCAGCAAAGGAGGAGCAGCAGGGTCCAAGAGACCAGGGTTCCGGCGAATTGGGTCAATTCCAAAGTCCCCAACAATAACAAAGAATATCGGTAGTCTGACGTCACTAGCCGAAGCAGCAGCCTTATCCTCCCCCCCAGAACCATCCATAACGAGTACAGCAGCAGCGCACCCGATCTCGGGCTTCTGGGACCACCGGGTCGACATGCAAACCCTAAGCGCGATGCTCTTCTTCGCCCTCGTCCTAATCCTCTGGCACTTGCGCGGATTTCGCTTCCTCTCAATCTTCTACTGGTTTCCCCCTGACGAAGAGGACTATGAGACCCCTCCCGGGACCACCTGGGTGGAGCTCCTAGCTCTCTCCCTCCTGCTCCTAGGTGCTGCTGCTGCTCTTCGGTCTGCCTTCCCCCGGTTTTTCGACCGCTTGGCGCTGCTGCTGCACACTGCGTTCCCCCGCTCCCGGCTCTTAGTGAAGAGGCTGCAGAGAGTGAAACGGGTGGTGGTGAGAGCATTGGCGGATGGCACTGGGATTGGCCGGCTGGGGATTGGATCGGGGATGGGCCGGGGAGGTGGGGGAGGAGGAGGGGGGGGTATTTTACCTTCCTGGGCTCATTACTTACCGTTTGGCGGTTTGGGTGGAGGGGGAGGGGCAGCGGCAGCAGCAGCAGCAACAGGAGCAGGGATAGGGTATGCGGCGGGTCCTCGGCCGTTCAGATTACGAGGGACGGGGGGGACAGGCAACTATTCAGCTCTAGACAAGAAATTCGCCTCCAGTGGGGGCGGCAGCTGGGAGTATTTGGGCTACAGCCGTACAGGCAGGGGTGGGGGGAGAGGGATCAGCAATAATGGTAGTGGTGGTGATGGTGGTGGTGGCAGCAGCAGCAACGCTGGGCATGGTGCAAGTGGGGAGAGAGAACGGGACAGGGAAAGGGAGAGAGATAGGGAGTCTGGTTCGGATAGTGGGGGAGGGGAGGGGTCCTCCACAGCCGCGGCCGGACCTGCAGGTGCGGCGGGTCTTTCGTCCCGTAGTGCCTCCCGAGCCTCATCCGGGTGTGGCATCCACGTATACGCAAACGGGGACCGCTACGAGGGGGAGTTTTACCAGGGCAGATGCTCGGGCAGCGGAGTATACATTTTCTCGGGCAGCGGGCGGTACGAGGGGGACTGGGTGGATGGGAAATACGACGGGTATGGCATCGAGACGTGGTCGAGGGGGAGCAGATACAGAGGGCAGTACCGGAAAGGGTTGAGGGAGGGATATGGAGTGTACCGGTTCTACACGGGGGACGTGTTTGCGGGGATGTGGGCCAAGGGGCAGAGCCACGGGGTGGGCGTGCAGACGTGTGGGGACGGCAGCAAGTATGTGGGCGAGTTCGCGTGGGGCGCCAAGCACGGATTCGGCAAGTACACTTTCAGGTGAGACCACGGTTGGATGCGAGACCATGGTTGGGGGTTCGATTGGTTACTGAGGTGAGATTGGGTATTGAGGTGAGATTGGGTATTGAGGTGAGATTGGGTATTGAGGTGAGATTGGGTATTGTGGTGAGATTGGGTATTGAGGTGAGATTGGGTATTGAGGTGAGATTGGGTATTGAGGTGAGATTGGGTATTGAGGAGAGATTGGGTATTGAGGTGAGATTGGATATTGAGGTGAGATTGGGTATTGAGGTGAGATTGGGTATTGAGGTGAGATTGGGTATTGAGGTGAGATTGGGTATTGGGGTGAGATTTGGGTATTGGCGTGAGATTTGGGTATTGGCGTGAGATTTGGGTATTGGCGTGAGATTTGGGTATTGGCGTGACGTGAAATTTGTGCTCATCCTGTGTGTGAGTAGGGCTCACAGGCCATCGTGTTGTGCCTATGGCCACTCTTTTCTCTGTGCTGGTCAGGGCGCCTCAGGAGACGATGTCCCACTTTCCAACTCTTCCCTAGTTTCTCACCGTGCATGCACGCATGGCAACGGCATGTACGTTAATAGCAACGGGCACTGATACGAGGGCGCATGGCTCGAGGGGAATAAGCAACCCCCTCCTCTCCCCCTCCGCCCCCGTCCCCCCCCCTTTCCCCCTCCTCCAACCTACACTTCCCATTCTTGCAGAAACGGTGACACATACGCCGGAGAGTATTTCGCGGATCGCATGCACGGGTACGGCGTGTACGACTTCAGCAACGGGCACCGGTATGAGGGCGCGTGGCACGAGGGGCGCAAGCAGGGCCTGGGCATGTACACGTTCCGCAACGGGGAGATGCGCGCAGGGTACTGGCACCTGGGCGCGCTAGAAACCCGCAGCACCAACACGCTCCCTGCCTCGCCTACCAGCTCTGCTGCGGGAATGGGAGGAGGGATGGTGGGCGGTGCGGCAGTGGGAGGGGCTGGGAGTGCTGGGGTTGGGAGTATGGGCGGGGTGGTGGGAGGTGGTGGGGATGGTGGGATGGGAGGAGCGGCAGGGGCGCTAGGCAGTGGAGCAGGGGGAGGGGGAGGAGTGGCGGGGATAGCAGGGGGAGCGGCGGGAGCAGCATCAGGATCGTCCACGGAGTTGCCAGCAGCAGCAGCAGCAGCAGCAGGCAGTGCGTTTGTGTCGCCGGTGCAGACCCCTCTGTCTGCTGGGGGAGCGGGCCTGTCCACACCTCTCACGCCGCACACGCCTCACTCGGCCTCGTCGCCCAATGCTGTCAACCACTCCCGCGTACTGCACGCCGTTCAGGTGGGTGCTCAGGTGCTGCACGCTGTTCAGGTGGGTGCTCAGGTGTCCTGTATGTTGTTCTGGTGGGTGCTTAGGTGCTGCACGTGGTTCAGGTGGGGGGCTGATCTCATGTGTGGAGCTAAGGGCACATGGGTGTGCATGTCAGGCCTGCCACTAGGTGGGAGCACGTGCTACCTATGACTCTCGCTTTATCCCCTCACATCCCTGCACTTTCTTCATCTTCGCATTTTCCTTGCGCCAGCTTTCTCCCCACCCCTCATTTCCCCTTGCCGTGTCGCGCCCCTGTGATCCAACCCTGCGTTGGTATCTCCCAGGAGGCACACCGGGGCAGCTGCCTCCCAAAAGGCATGCCGGGCAGCAGCCAAGGCGGAGAATGTACTTCGAGTGGATGACCGGGTGCCTAAGGCCCATATCTGCAGCCAATCAGTGTTCAGCCCACGGACGACTTCATCACCCCTTCTCACTGCCTTGTCTTGCCTGCTCCCTTCTCTGCTCTGGTGTTTCCCAGGAGGCGCGGCGGGCAGCAGCCAAGGCGGAGAATGTGTTGAGAGTGGATGACCGGGTGTCCAAGGCTGTGTCTGCAGCGAACAGAGCGGCTGTGGCAGCTCGAGTGGCAGCTGTGAAGGCCAACCAGAGGGGGTCCAATCACTCGTGATGCCATGCTGCTGAAGGTTTTAGTCGGTGCTCTAACTGTAGCTGTAGCTCTTCTTGGCGGTCTAGTGCAATTGGCAAGTTCTCTGGTGCTTTAGTGCCAGCCTTACAGTGCATCAGATCATGTGCACTTATGGGTGGGGCTTTACTTCCTCCGTTTCCATTGCAGCCAAGTGATTTCAAGGCGTCCTTCATTGTTTGTGCTGCTATGTAAGAAATGTGGTACCGTATCTTTGTTTGTTGAAGTAGCATTTCTTACGCACATGCGAAAAAAATAAACACGCAGGTAACCGAATCTGCAATCCGGATTTCCTGCCCACAAAGGCAGTGTGAGAATTTCACAATTCCTTACTGGGTTTCGCCACAGCGAGTACCGCAAACAGTTCGCATCCGCACCGCAGCATCGGCCCTCAAGTCTCGCGTCAAACCACCCACGCCGACCTATTCGACCTCGAACGTGTTACCGAGGCGCCCCGAACCCAATTTGACCCCGTCGCTCCGGGACTATCGAGCCCTTGACTGGTCCAACACTCGAGGTTCATGTAAACTTATACATATTTGTATATGTAGCAGTTATAGGTTAGAAGGGTTCGTGCTTTTAGAGAGTATAGCACCCAACCATATTGCGAGCAAGGAGCCGCTTGCCCCTCGTGCGCCGGCCCCTAGCTTGCCGGCCACGCACTCCCCGGCCCATCGTGCGCCGGCCCCAAGCTCGCCGGCCCCTTGCTCGCCGGCTCTGCGCTCGCTGGCCCCTCGCTCCCCGGCCCCACCCCCGTCGGCCCCCCATTCGTCGGCCCCGCGCTCGCCGGCCCTGCGCTCGCCAGCCCCGATCTCGTCGGCCCTGCGCTCGCCGGCCCCGCGCTCGCCGGCTCCTCTCTCGCTGGCTCCGCGCTCGCCGGCCTAGCACTTGCTGGCCCCGCACTTGCCGGCCCCTCGCTCGCCCGCCCCTCCGTTTCCCGGCCCCGACTCGCACCGGCCCCCTGCTCGCCAGCCCCAGCTCCCGCTGGCCCCTGCTCGCCGGCCCCAGTTCGCCTCGGCCCCAGCCTACCGGCCTGAGTTCCTGCCGGCACCTGCTCACCCCCGGCCCGTAGCCGGCCTTTGCTAGCCGAGCAGCGCGCCGTATCGCCGGCCCCAGCCTGCCGCGCGCCCTGTCGCCGGCCCCAGCCTGCCGCGCTGCTCCAGCTCGCCGTGCCGCTGTGCCGCCCCAACCTACCGGCCCCTCGTCGTCGCCGACCCTGGTTCCCCTCTGAGCTGGCGAATCTGCCGGTTGTCTTCTCCACCGCTAACCACTGCTCTTCACCGACCCTGGCTTTGCCCCTCCTCTCTCCTCCGCTCTCGATCGTCAGCTGCTGCAACTGTGGTGATGGTGGACACGGTGCTCCGCCTAGATGCGGAGGGTCGGGTGGTAGACTTTGAGGCGTGGCTCGTCGACCTCCGCCGCCAGCTGAAGGGCCAGCACCAGGATGGCCTGTCCCTGGCCGTCCATGTCGACGATAAGCTCCCCTGCCCCTGCCCTGACAGCAGCAGCAGCCGTGGGGACCTCCGCCGCCATGGTGGCCCGGCGTTTTGGTGGTGGCGATCGCGGTGGTGGAGCGCGCAGCTCGGCATCGGGTGGAGGCTCCAGTGTGGTGACCTACCAGTACCAGCTTCAAACCGGCCCCCGTCGCGGCACTGTGTGCGACCATCATGGTCACACCGCCGCCTGCTGCTACCGCTGCCTCGACAACCTCTTCCGTCTACAGTTCGGCCCTACTCCGGACCTCCCCGACTAGCACAGCCTGGTACGTCGCCGTGTGCCGGTCTTTTAGATGGATATGGATCAGATTCGGTCTGCTTTGTATGCCATGTATGCTGATGACTCTAGTGTGACTGGACCTTGGTACCCTGTGTTGCCTAGCGTATGTGTCTCCACTGTGCATAGTCTAGGCTCCCCTGCTGCATCACGTGTAGGATCTCCTACTTTGTTTAGCCTAAGCTCTACGCTAGTGCCCCCGCCGGCTGACGCTACCGCCACGCTCTCCTTCATGCTGGACTCTGGTGCGTCTGCCTGCTTCTTTCGCGACTACACTACCCTTACGTCGCTTGCTGCCCCTGCCGTTGTAGCGTTCTTTCGCTCACGTTTTCTCCTCTAGCGTGGAAAAGCTCACTGCCCACACCGTCCCATGTGTCTTCCTTGGCTTCCCCCTTGACGCGTCTAACGGGCACTTTTACCACCCGCCGTTTCACCGCTTCTTCCACTTGCGGGACGTCACCTTTGACGAGTATGTCTCCTTCTACACCCGTATTCCCCAACAAGGTCTCCCGGTTACCCCACCCCTGTTCCTTGTCCCCACTCCCCCGGTAGCTCTCGCTTCTCGTCCTGCCCCGTCAATTGTGTCTCCCCTTCCCTCGGTTTCCCAGGCAGAAGAGTCAGCCGACTCAATGCAGGGTCCGACGTCTGTCTCTAGGCCCTCCGCCCCGATGTCTCCTTCGCCTCTGCAGCAGCAGCAGCCGCCGCCGCCACACCCTCCGCCAACGCCGCCGTCGCTGCCACCGCTGCTACCTCCGTCGTCGCTCACTGTCACGCCTCCTCCTTTGTCTGACTACCTGTGCGCATCTTGTCCTCTTGTTCCTCGGGTCCTTGCCTCCCTCGTTACCAACCCGTCTGTTCCTGTCTCCTGTCCTGACGCTCTTGTAGCTGCTGTCGCTGACTTTGCCTCTACTTGCCGCCTTCACTTTGCTACCACTCTGGTCTCTGACCCTGTCTGTCCTCCGTCCGTCGGGGGTGCTCCTGTCCTCGGCACTCATGTCTTGGAGGACTCGCAGTACGAGCTTGCTTTCCTGTCAGAGGCTGCTCCCCATCTTTATTCCATGCTGCTAGTCCCTGAGGGTGACCCCGACGTCTTTGACATTCCGACCCCTCGCACCTACGCTGAGGCGACCTCGGGACCTTGGGCCTCTCAGTGGATAGCTGCCATGGAGCAGGAGATGGCATCTTGGAGGGCTACCGACACGTACAACGACGCAGTTCCCCCACCTGGGGTGAACGTAGTCGATGGCCAATGGCTCTTCAAGGTGAAGCGCCCTCCTGGAGAGCCGCCTGTGTTCAAGGCGCGCTACGTGGCTAGAGGCTTCAGTCAGCGTGAGGGGGTGGACTTCTTTCAGACCTTCGCCTCGACCCCGAATATGACTACCCTTCGGGCGCTACTACACGTAGCAGCAGAGCATGACTACGAGCTTCACTCCCTCGACTTCTCCATTGCTTTCCTTCAGGGCAGCCTACACGAGCAGGTCTACCTGCGCCGCCCTCAGAACTTCACCGGTACTTTCCCTCCTCGGACCCAATGGCTCCTCCTGCGCCCCGTCTACGGCTTGCGACAGAGACGCGCTAGCCTCCGTGAAGGCTGAGCTGCTGAGGCGACACACCTTCAATGACCTGGGAGAGCTGCGCCGCTACCTTGGCCTGCAGATCTCCAGGGACAGAGCAGCGCGCACCATCACTCTTACACAGTCACACTTGGTGCGCTAGGTCCTTCAGAGGTTCGGTCTTCATTTCTCCTCCGCACAGCCCACACCTCTGCCTGTAGACCACAGGCTCTCAGCTGCAGTTCCTGGGGAATCAGCAGAGCCCAGTGGTCCTTACGCAGAGCTGGTGGGTTGCCTGATGTACCTGATGACTTGCACTCGCCCAGATCTCGCATACCCTCTCAGCATCCTAGCCCGCTTTGTGGCCACAGGCAGACACCGACCACAGCACTGGTCGGCCGCTAAGAGGGTTTTCGTTATCTTGCAAGTACATTGGGCATGGGGCTGGTGCTGGGAGGACGCATGCCAGTGGTCCTTACTGGGCACACAGACGCTTCTTGGGCAGGCGACGCTGAGACCCTCCGATCCTCCTAGGGCTACTGCTTCAGCCTTGGTTCTGGTGCCATCTCGTGGAGGTCCACTCGCTCCTCGTCTGTTGCTCAGTCTAGCTGCGAGGCTGAGATCTACGCCGGTGCCATGGCGGCACAGGAGCTCCGCTAGCTGACCTTCTTGCTTGCCGACTTAGGTGAGCGGCCTAGCTCTGCCCCGGTTCTGTTTGCTAACAACAGGGCCATGATCCTCCTGTGTCAGGAGCCTCGACTTGAGGGCAGAGCGAAGCACATCCAGCTGCGGTACTTCCTCTTGCACGAGCTTCAGCAGCGTCGCCAGGCCTACGTAGTACACTTGGCCTCCGGTGCCAACACAACTGATATCTTTACTAAGGCGCTTCCGCCTAGAGATCATCAGCGGCACTGCTTGCAGTTAGGTCTAGTCCCTGTTGACTCGAACTTGCTAGGTTCTTGATTGTGTACTCCTTTCTATTTATGCCTTTCAGATTGGCCTTGTGGCTTTTTCCTCCAGTGGTTGGACTAATAGTGCCGCCCTGGTTTGCTCTGTCTTGCTTGTACTCTTGCGGATTGGTCTTCGGGCCCCTGCCTCAGAGGTTGGACTAGTAGTGCCACCCTGAGTTGCGTGTTTCTTGCTCAGCAATACCCCTTATCTAGCCTAGGGGGTGTGTCGACTTATACATATATTGTTATGTAGAAGTTATAGGCTAGATAGGGTATGTTCTTAATGGGTACAACCCAAATGCTATATCTCCCCCTGTACTCCCTTTTGCTAATTATTCTTTCTAGTCTTCACACTGTGCTCTGGAAACTCAGTATTGGGTTTGCCACAAGTCTGATTTTTTCAGGATCCCTAAAATCGTACTCTGAAGTGATCATGATTGGGAAAATGGACAATCTGGAAATTCAGGTTTGTAAAAAAAATGGGTCTGAAATTTCAGACTTATCAGACTAAATAGTCTGATAAAATCAGCCCTGCATATATCGTACAAGTGTTCTGTCAACTACTGCTGACATGTTGGTAGCCTAATGTGGCTCGGACAAAAGAGCAGCCCGTTCCATTAGGGCTGTCTGGTATCTCCACACTAAATGCCTTACTCCCTGGACCACCTGACAAGCCAAACAAGGTGGACACAGATTCGCCCGGCTGTAAAAACCTCTTCTCCAGCAGCTCCAGCTCCTGATCAATGGTCCTAACCGGGCGAACCTCCACCATCATCTCATCCACCCTCGCTGCAGCTGCGGCTCGTGCATCCCCACTCCCCACCTCGGCCTGGAGTGCCTCCAGATCGTGCGCCACGCGGGACATGGAGGGGCGTGAGGCAGTGGGCATGGCGGTGCAGCTGACGGCCAGCTGAGCCAGGCGCAGGATGATGCCGTCAGGTGCTGCCATGCGGGGGTCTCTGAGAGATGACTCGTTGCCCTCTGACATGAGCTTGCTTGCCTGTGAGATTCAAGGGAGGGGGGGCAGGGGATGGGGAACGGGAACGGGGGTTGAAGAGAGGAGGGCCAAGGGAGCAAGGGGGGGGGGGATAAAGTAGGTGCAGTGCAGGATGAGTGAGTCGTCCTAGCCGTGCACTGCAGGAAGAGTGAGTCGTCCTAGCCGTGCACTGCAGGAAGAGTGAGTCGTCCTAGCACGAGTGAGAGTGAGTCTCACTATCAAACGCTCTCCTGGAGAGTCGCCGGTATTCAAGACGCACTATGATGATAGAGGTTTCAGTAAGCGCGAGGGTGTTGACTTCTTTCAGACCTTCGCCCCGACCCCGAACATGACCACTCTTCGGGCGCTGATTCACGTAGTAGCACAGCGCGACTACGAGCTGCACTCTCTCGACTCCTCCACACCGTTTCTCCTGGGCAATCTATACGAGCAGGTCTACCTAAGCCGACTTCCAGGCTTCTCTTGCTCCTTCCCACCTAGGACCGAGCGGCTCCTCCAGCGCCCACTTTACGGCCTACGTCAAGCACCCCGTGAGTGGCACGATACACTACGTGCTACGTTTGTCGACCTGCAGTTCTTCCCATCCGCTGCTGACCCTTCCCTCTTCGTTCGCTCAGGCCAGACTCCGTTCTACATCCTAGTCTACGAAGACAACTTGGTCTTCGCTGCTGCAGATAGAGACGCACTGGCCTCAGTGAAGGCTGAGCTGTTGAAGAGACACACCTGCACTGACCTAGGCGAGCTGAGCCGCTACCTCGGGTTGCAGATTTCCAAGGATAGAGCAGCACGCACCATCACTGTTACACAGTCACACTTGGTGCGCCAAGTCCTTCAGAGGTTCAGCCTTAAGTTCTCCTCCGCACAGCCTACACCCATGCTAGTAGAGCACAAGCTCTCGGCTCCAGTCCCTGACGAGTTGGTTGAGCCTAGTGGTCCATACGCAGAGCTTGTGGGCTGCCTCATGTACCTGATGACTTGCACTCATCCAGATCTCGCATACCCTCTTAGCATCCTGGCTCACTTTGTGGCGTCAGGCAGACACCGACCCCAACATAGGTCGGCCGCTAAGAGGGTTTTGCATACACAGACGCCTCGCAGGCGGACGACGCTGAGACGCTTAGGTCCTCATAGGGCTACTGCTTTAGCCTTGGTGCACGCGCCATCTCATGGAGGTCAATCCGCTCGTTGCCTGTTGCCCAGTCCAGCTACGAGGCTAAGATCTACGCTGGTGCCATGGCGGCACAGGAGCTCCGCTGGCTGACCTTCTTGCTTACAGACTTAGGTGAGCAGCCTAGCTCTTCTCCGGTACTGTACGCAGACAACAGGGCCATGATCCTCCTGTGTCAGGAGCCTCGACTAGAGGGCAGAGCGAAGCACATCCAGCTACGATACTTTCTCGTGCGCGAGCTACAGCAGCGTCGCCATGCCCGCGTAGTACACTTGGCCTCCGGTGCCAATACATCTGATGTCTTTACTAAGGGGCTTGCTCCGAAAAATCATCAGTGGCACTGTGTACAGCTTGGTCTAGTTCCAGTAGCTCCTCACTTGCGAGGACCCTGATTGTGTACTACTCCATATATTTTCTTGACTGGCCTTGTGGTTCTTGCTCAAGTGGTTGGACTAGTAATGCCGCCCTAGGTTACTCTTAGCGTGTACTCTTGCTGTCTGGTCTTTAGAACCTTGCCTCAGAGGTTGGACTAGTAGTGCCACCGTGAGCTTTGTGTCTCTCGCTATGCATTGCCCCTTGTCTAGCCTAGGGGGTGTGTAAACTTATACATATTCGTAAATGAAGCAGTAATAGGCTAGAAGGGTTTGTGCTTTTAGAGAGTACAAGCCCAACCATATATTCCCTTATATCCCTTCATTCTAGATGTTCCGCTACATTGAGAATTCAACCTGGTCAACTAGCACTATACAGTATATGACCTTATTTGTATTGAGAGGAGTTGTAGTCACGCTCCCTAATAGAATTATGCACTATACTCTGGATTAAAGCTCAGGTCCCAAATTAGTCACGCATACATCAAACTAGGCCAAGTTTGATGCTGACCGTGCTTGCAAACTACCCAAGAAAAAAAAAAAAAAAAAAAAAGGAACCAGCTACAACTTCGCCACTGTGAGAGGCGAAATTGAGGATGGTATATCTACGGTAGAAATCAACTTTGCAAACTAGGCCTAGTTTGATTCGTGCTGCTTCGACCGGTGGATCGGGCTTGCTCTTCCATTGGAATCCCTGCTCCCCCTTGGTTTCTTATTAACGGTTGTAATGGTGCTTACAAATTGGGACTTCATGTGCCCCGGCGTCTCAGCCGTCAGATCCGTGTTTGGCCCAACTTGAAACTCCCCCCTAATCAAACTAGTTTGTCTACAAAATTCCACACGAAGTAACAAAATCACATGTTTCGCACCCAATAAAACAACTGATTTTTTTCCACCCGCCCAACCTAAATTCTGTCCGTTGACTTGCGTGAACTAATTTGGGATCTAGGCTTAAATTCATAATAGGCAGGCGTTGTGTACACTGCACTGTTCACTATGGTAGACTACAAGAATGACTAGAAACAAGGAAGAACAAGGGAAATATAGGGTTGGATTTGTACCCAGCAGAAACACGCAGCTCAGGGTGGCACTACTAATCCAACCTCTGAGACAGGGGTCCGAAGACCAGTCAGCAAAAGTACAAACAAGACAGGAGCAAACCAGAGCGGCACTACTAGTCCGAACACTAGAAGAGAAGCGACAAGGCCAGTCTGAAAGGTATATATAAAGAGAGGTAGACAATCAAGGTCCTAGCAAGTGACAATCTACAGGAACTAGTCCAAGCTGCAAACGGTGCCACTGATGATCTTTAGGCGTAATCGCCTTAGTAAATTTATCACTTGTCTTGGCACCAGAGGCCAAGTGTACCACGCGGGCCTGGCGACGCTGCTGTAGCTCGCGCAGGAGGCAGTACCGCAGCTGGATATGCTTCGCTCTGCCCTCAAGTCGAAGCTCCTGACACGGGAGGATCATCGCCCTGTTGTCAGCGTACAGAACCGGGGCAGAGCTAGGCCGCTCACCTAAATCGGTGAGCAAGAAGGTTAGCCAGCGGAGCTCTTGTGCCGCCATGGCACCGGCGTAGATCTCAGCCTCACATCTAGACTGGGCAACAAGCGAGGAGCGAGTGGACCTGAACCAAGGCTAAAGCAGTAGCCCTGAGAGGACGTGAGGGTCTCAGAGTCATCTGCCCAAGACGTGTCTGTCTGCCCTGTAAGGACCACTGGCCTGCGTCCTCCTAGCACTAACCCCATGCCCGATGTACTTGCTAGATAACGCAAAACCCTCTTAGCGGCCGACCAGTGCTGTGGTCGGTGTCTGCTTGGGGCTACAAAGCGAGCCAGGATGCTGAGAGGGTATGCGAGATCTGGACGAGTGCAATTCATCACGTACATGAGGCAACCCACCAGCTCTGCGTAAGGACCACTGGGCTCTACTGACTCCTCAGAAACTAGAGCAGAGAGTCCGTGGTCTACTGGTAGAGGTGTGGGCTGTGCAAAGGAGGACTGAAGACCGAACCTCTAAAGGACCTGGCGCACCAAGTGTGACTGTGTGAGAGTGATGGTGCACGCTGCTCTATCGCTGGAGATCTGCAGGCCAAGGTAGCGGCGCAGCTCTCCTAGGTCAGTGCAGGTGTGTCTCCTCAGCAGTTCGGCCTTCACGGAGGCCTGTGCATCTCTGTCGGGAGTAGCGAAAACCAGGTCGTCTACGTAGACAAGGATATGGAACTGAGTGTGGCCAGCACGAACGAAGAGCGAGGGATCTGCAGAGGGCGGAAAGAACCGCAGGTCAGAAAGGGTAGCATGCAACGTGTCGTGCCACTCATGAGGCGCCTATCGCAGGCCGTAGACCGGGCGCCGGAGGAGCCACTGGGTCCCAGGAGGGAAGGTACCGTTGAAGCCCTGTGGATGGCGCAGGTAGACCTGCTCGTATAAACTGCCATGGAGAAACGCTGGGGAGAAGTCGAGGGAGTGTAACTCGTAGTCACGCTGTGCTACTACATGTAGTAGAGCCCGAAGAGTAGTCATCTTCGGGATCGGGGCGAAGGTCTGAAAGAAGTCCACCCCCTCACGCTGACTGAAGCCTCTAGCCACATAGCGCGCCTTGAACATAGGCGCTCTCTAGGGGGGCGCTTCACCTTGAAGAGCCACCGGCCATCGACTACGTTCACCCTAGGTGGGGGAACTGCGTCGACGTAGGTGCCGGTAGATCTCCAAGATGCCATCTCCTGCTCCATGGCACCTATCCACAGAGAGGCCCGGGGTCCCGAGGTTGCCTCAGCGTAAGTGCAAGGGGTCGGGATGTCAAAGGCGTCAAGGTCACCCTCAGGGACTAGCAGCATGGAGCAGAGATGGGGCGCAGCCTCGGACAGGAAAGCAAGCTCGTACTGCGTGTCCTCTAGAACGTCATTGTGAAGGGCAGGAGCACCCCCGATGGACGGAGGACAGACAGGGTCAGAGACCAGAGCAGTGGCGTAGTCAAGGCGGCGGGTAGAGGCGAAGTCAGCGACAGCAGCGACAAGAGCGTCAAGACTCGAGACAGGAATAGACGGGTCATTAACAAGGGAGGCAAGTACCTCAGGAACAAGAGGACGAGCAGCACAAAGGTAGTCAGACAGAGGGGGAGGCGCGACAGCGAGCGACGACGAAGGAGGTGGCGGGAGGAGGGGAGGACGAGACGCGTGGGAACAAAGCAACATAGTTTGAGAACACTGAACAGGAGAGACAGGACGAGCACGAGAGGGACGGCGAGACTTGACGTGAGACGGAGGTGTCTGGTCAGGAGACAGAGGAGGAGACACAAAAGGGGAACGAGGGGGAGGACGAGTCAGTGACGAGTCCGGCAAAGGAAACACAGGGCCGTAGACAGGAAGGGGAGGAGGCAGTGGGGAAGGCGCAGGCAAGCGGTAAGGGGAGGGAAGGCCGAGCGACGAAGGGCGGACACCGGGAGCGTCTGCTGCTGCTGCT